GAAAGGGCGGGAAAAACGCGTACGAGCGAATCACGATTGGTTTTGGATTTACTGTTGATTGGATGGCAAACTGGGGAGTGGCGCGAGATTTTTAAGCCAATCGTGAATCCTAGTACTGCAAAACAAAAGTAAATGCAAATCGCTTTTGACACTTAGGTGAAAACCACTTTAACATACGATAATAAAAGTTATAATCAACGGGGATACTACCCCTTACTTAAAAGGAAAATTTATTTCTAATAAAGTTAAACTTACAATCGTAACAGTAATAATGAATCGTAATAATCAATCATAACAGTAATAATGAATCGTAATAATCAATCGTAACAGTAATAATGAATCGTAATAATCAATCGTAACAGTAATAATGAAATACAATTCACGACAAGGAATATATTGAGTCTAACCCATGAAATAAAATGTACGGTCAATAAAAAATAAGCAAAAGTTATCGTGGTGGATTGTTCTTTGTTTCTTCCTGCTTGTCACGCGATCTTCTATCCCGTGACTAGCAAAACAGGCTTAATTAACCCAAGTGTTACCAACTTCTAACTTCTCTCTACAGAAACGTGACAAATTTAAGTCTAAGTGAGGTGTACAACGTCTAGGTCTAGGTGAGTGAGGTGTACAACGTGAATAACTTCTCCAAAGGAGAATCTAGAACGTTAATCAAGAATATTTACACGGAGGGGGACGTTAGGGGTTCAGTGTTATCATATACCTAACTGGGTATCAAATTCATACGTATGATTCGTGATAAAACATTTGAGGTTTGTCAGTCTATTAGGCGAACTTTGGCGATCGAGAGGAGTTGGTTATTGCTGAGGATTGAATGAAATCGTGCATAACCATGCCTGACGTAAGTGATATTGCATTTAAACAAACTGAACGCATTGCGAAACATGTTTACTAATCAAAGTGAGTTCTGATTGACAGTTACGGGTGCGAAAGATCACGTGACTGTTAAACTCGATGTCATGTTTAACTCCAAATTAGGCAATGTTTCCTAATCAGGAAGTTACCTTAGCATACAGCCGCTGTACACCTGTAAATGCAGTAACAAAGTACTACAAAGTTACTAAGCTGCCGGCTAGCGGTTTCAGTTGACAAAAGGTATCTAAGATTTGTTAGTATAAATCTACTAGCATTCTATCACAAATGCCGTTCTCTGATTGGCTATGCTCTCACTATCTATTCTGTGATAGATTGTGAGTAGCGTAGCAGTGGGCCCTTGCTAACAAAATGACGGCCGCTTCTTGGCGTTTTCGAAGAGTCTGTGAAGAGGATTTAGGTTAAGTTTGAACGACTAGTAAATTTATACGAAAACAATTAGATTATTCGCTCTCGATTTCTACGCGTGATAACTGACTCGGGCTACGCCCTCGTCAGCTATCACGCTGTAGAAATCTCGAGCTGATAATCTAACATTTCCAGATATTTGTCATTTTACGATTAGATCACGATGTTTCCTTGCTTGCTATTGGCACAAACACAAATTCTGGTAAAAATATACAGCATCATAAACATTTACGTGTACAGTAAAATATGGGTATCAACAAACGAAAGCAGACAAGTTATCTTTTGCGATTAGTTTTATAGAGCTTGGCAATCATTTCATCGCTCCCTACCACGTTTTTCACAGTACACCTGAACTTCATCAGCACCATCATATCTTGAGGAGGTATCAACAACTTACTCTTTGTATTTTCATCTTTAACCTGAACTTGAGAAATAACTTGAATGGATTGCCAAGTGTCGGAACATTGATCTTCCGAGTGACCCCAGCAAAATTTATAATGCCATGAAAAAGAAGGTGTTGGGCTGCCTTCAGCAAGAACACAAGGGATCTGAACATTCTTGGTCTGCTGTTGATCCCAGAAGTAGGTCTTTGCATATGATTTGTCCAGGACAGGAGGAGCTGGAAATAAATTTAGAAACTATTAACACATACTGTGGTCTAAATTTCATCACTTGGAAGTTAGATAGCCTCTCTGTAAAACTATGAAGTCCACTTAATTACACCACTTAAGTTAGAACAGAGGGCCAATAACTAAAATCATCCAATCAGATTGTTCTGTTACCGATCCAATATTCTCCAATTGTCGACTGCTCTTGAAGATTTTCTGGTAGTTTTACGGCTTGTAACATTTTTGAAAGCACTTGCTTCCACATGAAGTTTCCTTTTCGTTTTCTTCCAGTCCTTTTTCCCTTCTGTTTTGTTTGAGTCGATATTCTCCCAGTATGGCCCTCGCGCTTGGTTAATAAGATATACATTATCTGGGCAGGGGGACCAGTAGGGCTAGCCTCCTTGTGCACTAAACTACTTCCAGACAGCAAGAGCCAGGGACACTGTGGTTTCCTTCCTGTTACAACTTAAGCCCAAACGGCCCAGAAATTTCCCAGGTCCCCCCATTTTTCAACACTCGAAAAGAAGTTTCACATCACCACACGGCCATATAATATCCTCTATACACGACGGTATATTGAGGCCCACAGAGGTTATCAGTTCAACTACATGTTCTGTCAAACGCCTCCTTCAATAAATAAAGCCTTCCTCACTTATTCACTTTCTCATGTCAGAATTCAAACTCACTTGGTATAACAACAACGAATTCTCTTGCATCGTTTCCAAAATCATTTTTAGCTTCACAGCTGAAGACTGCATCATCATCAGGATAGCGCGGCTTCACTATTTTCATTTTCAAACTATTCCCAGCGAGAACATATCGTTCAGTTTTCGCACATGGTTTGTTTTCGAAGCACTTCTTTATCACTTGGTTGTCTTTCTTCCATGTTATAACGGGTGGAGGAAATCCAATGGTATCGCAATCAAGCGTAATGTCTTTGTCACCGTTCGCCCAAATGTCACGACTTGAGTTTGCTATGATCTTTGCAGGACTTGGACCTGATAGAATATTCAACAAAAACAACCTTTAGTTTGATATAGGACTGTTCAAATGCAATTAAAGCTAATGAAGTGACGTTTGAAAAATCTGATGGCAGAGGAAAAGGGGGTCAGTTGATTTTAAAGGACCCCCTACAAATTTACCAAACACACCTGTTGAGGAGAGTAATGCACGGCTACATATACACGAACAACAAATCTGTGAGAGAGGCCACTTAAACTTAAAGTGGCTCTAAATACTTTTCCCAATTATTTTCAAACTCTTGCAGAAAGTTGCATTGAATATTTTAGAAGCTAATCATTAAGAATCAATTAATAACATATGGGGATGAAGGGTTAAATTATTTTACCTTTACACATATGAGCGCATAAAGCAACAACAGTGTTTTTGAAACTACACACGGCATTGCAACAACAACAAACAACAACAACAACAACAACACTTATTTGTGCCACCATTTGTGCTTTGTGTAACCTGCAATGTCAAGAGAATGATTTCTACAAGCTCACCAATTATTGGACATTTGGTTTTAAAAGTTCACGTCCAACTGGGCTTTCCGTCCCTTGAAGGAAGTCATCTTCCATCTGGAGAAGACTTCCATCAATGCACGGAAAGCACATTTGCTTTTAAAGATACCATGGCTTTATCATCAAGCAACATACGGTGATAGTATTAACCCTTTTAAGCCCTGATGTGCCGTAAACAGTTTTGTTATACCTTCCAACTCAAATACGTTTTTTGATTGGAGGAGAACATGTCGCATGTCATGGGTGAAAACTCACTAACTCCCTAGGGAAACGACAACTTGAACATTTGACTCAAATGCAATCAGGTCATGCTCCTTGAAACCCCAGCAAATTTGTGTGCCAGCCTGAATCAAATAATTTTTGCACAGTTTGTTCTGATTTTGAGTTGGGAGGTCTGACAAAATACTTTAAAATGACTGGCCCCATGGGAAACAGAGAGTTTTGATGCCCCTCGTCCCTCAATGTTCCCCTTCCCTTTGCCTCAGGGAACATTGAGGGTCAAGAGGAAACAAAATTCTTCATTTCCTTTTGGGCCAGTCATTGAATGCTTAATGA